AGCTTTAACGCATAGGGTTACATCTATTAAAAAATAAGTATTATTTTTTATGTTAAGTTTAAGATTTAAGTTTGTCATTTAAAAAAAAAAAAAAAAAAAAAAAAAACGGATACCATAAATAAATTGTGACATAAGAACGGAAAATAGACTATATTTTGGTACAATAAAGGCGTCCAGGCTTGTATGCTGGATGTGGTGTATGCTGCATAGATGGTGCATTTGGCTCATCTCTATGGTTTGTTAGTCTGGTGTACTATGTTGCATACTGGCTACTGGTATTGTAGTGTGCTTGTTATTAGTTATGCTATATTTCATTAGCTGTTCATGGACAGGCTTCCAATCAATGGGATATATATACATTTGTGGTAGTAATAATCAGTGTTTTGAAAACCACTTAGAAGTCAAATCATTTTGACCTCGAGGTCCTAGTTTGACCAGTTTAATCGATTAAATTATTTTTTTTTAACAGGTTTTACAAGGGGTTGGGTCGAACTCAGCCCAGGGGAGGGAGAAAGTGCACCGTGAGTGGTTATTGTCACTTGAGCCAAAGGACTCGGTGCAATCGATTAAATTATTTAAATCGTTGATTTAATTAAATATCAATAAATATAATGTTATGCAACATTAAACAATAAACTTGCAATGATTCTATTGGTTAGCTGTTCCGTCTCCCATACTAAGGAAATGATAAAATTTAATTAATATGGTTTTAACTTACAACCCATAATATATTAATAGGTTTTTATTACATTAATTAAAAATATAATAAATATAATTTTTTGTAATTAATTTATATAAAAAATTATAAAAATTGATTTTAAATTAATTAATTAACTAATTAAAATTATTTACATAAATATCAATTTTTATAATTTTTTATATAAGTTAATTATAAATAAATATAAAAATTTATTTTATTATATTTTTAACCTATAATATATTAATGGATTTTTCTTACACAAATTAAAGTGCAATAAATATAATTTTTTAAATTAATTTATATAAAAATTATAAAAATTAATTTAAAATTAATTAGTTAAGTAATTAAAATCATTTATATAAATGTCAATTTTTATTTTTTTATCTAAATTAATTATAAATAAATGTAAAATTTTATAT